TTAAAATTTTATTAAAAAAATTTAAAATTTAAAAAAAGTTGCAGGCAAATTTGGCTGCAAAACAATTTAAGGGATAACTCTTGGAATATCAATTATCTTAAACAAGTCCAAACCTCAAAAACAGAAAAAAAAAAACTCTTCTTATGGAAAAACTACACCAAATAAACTTTGGAAAACTATGCACTACAAACAACTTGCAATCTCCAATATATTTCTTCTCAAATTACCTTAATATCTAATCAAAACCAACTTATACAGGTTGAAATAAGGCAAATCGGGTTCAAATCGGCATCACAATATCCTGATATGAACCCGATTTGAAACAGATATTTGGCGCAAATAAGATACCGTACCGTTCCGAAATTAAGCACCCCCGAAATTAAGCACAGGTAAGTCTACTTTCTGTCTCTAAGTAAAGTTATTCTCCAGACCAAGACGATTCTAACGGTGGTAAAATCATCAAAAATGGTCCGATAGATCATTTGCAATTACTTCTCAAAGTTCTGGCGACATTTCGGTTTTTCTTTTTTTATATGATCTATAATGTAAGCGAAGATAAATTGTAAACGTTCTACCGGACCAATTTTGATGATTTTACCACCATTAGAATAGTCTTGGCCAGGAGAATAGCTTTATTTACAAACAGAAGGGATTTACTTAGTACAAAAAATCCCCTATAATTAATTCTTAAAATTATATCCGAAAATAAGCATTCCTTATAACAAAAAAAAGGGTGCTTAATTTCGGAACGCCACGGTACCTATAGGATACAGTTCGGATTCATACAGCTCACAAGACATATCGGCAAAACGATAGCTCAATATAAATCGATAGAACTATAAGATTTGCTCTATCGATTTACCTATTGAGCTGATATGAATCCGAACTGTATCCTAAGGTACTTATTTGCGCCAAATATCTGTTTCAAATCGGGTTCATATCAGGATATTATATGCCGATTTGAACCCGATTTGCCTTATTTCGACCTGACGCATTCTTGTATTTTTGTTGATGCTGCCAGATACTTATGATATTCACAGAAGTATTAATATTTTTAATAACGATCATTACGTCTGAAATGTGTATCAGATTTGTGGCGCAAGTTCAACATTAACAAAATTCTTTAAAATTCAATGTTATTAATAAATTGTATAGTGAAATCGTTCAAGGAAAACTTTTTGTTAGAGCACTAAAGGTGGTTTCTTATATGGATTTTTGAGAAATAGGCGATTTTTGGCAAAATGGTCATTTGTTTTGAATCTTATTGATCGTGTTTTCGTTCCACCAGTAGTTTCACAGATCAGTATGGTATAGGTGAGCCGATTTTCAAATCTATACTATACGGACCAGGTATTATATATATGAGCGTTAGTTTCTATAATTTTGCAGATCCGTATAGTATAATTTTAAAAATTGGCCTATACTACATATACTGATTTGCTCACCTATACCATACTAATCTGCTATAATTTCATACTATACGTACAGCATATTTTTTTGAATTCGGCCTATACTATACTGATCTGCTCACCTATACCATACTGATCTGCCATAATTTCAAATCTTATTTGGCACACAATTTAGACGCGCTAAGACTACGCATGAAACTAAGAGCTGAAAAATAAGTAAGATCAATTGTTATTTGTCGTTTTTATTAAATTATAGGCGTTACAATTTTGATTGCATGCATGCTGTGATAATGATTTTTCAAAAGTATTTCGGAATTGCTACGTACGTATATATATATATATTTATATATATATATATTTGTATATATATACAGTGTATATATATATATATATTGTATATATATAAATTATATAAATAATTTTTGATAGAGCAATTTATACTAATAGACAACTAGGGAATACATATTCCCGATACTTATTAATAATCTTCAAATAAATAAATAAGTTTTGTCATTTAATAAGATATCAAAATATACTGTATCCACTCAATTAAAGCTTAATAGATGAAAGAATCTTGTAATGATCATGTTATTTTTTCTTCATTTCGCAAGATAAATTTGGTGAATAAATGAAATCATGGCTGCATGCTAAAAATACAATTTTGGTCTTATGGGGAGATCTGTATAAAGTATCATGCATGAGTTGTACGTACGTACGTACGTACGTTTATCTCGCACGAAAATTCATTAGAATGTGATAATTTCGCAGAGAACCATTTCTACAAAATTAGGGTGAATATGATATGGTCACAATCTACGAACCATATAGTAATGATATGAATTCGAAATCAGATTTATCCGCAAAGTAGTTTTTTTCGCTTTAGCCCGTAACACTAAATTGAATGTTGTTCCATTTTTGGTTTCTAGGACAAGGTTTTTTTGTTTCGATTGTTTAAGGTTATCCCCCTATGTGAAAATTGTTTTAGGATATGATGTGATCGCACCTAAGATAGGACAATCTAACGTTAAATGATTAAATGAAAAATTTTTGTATCACGAAACATGTAAACATTATATCATAAATAGTACATTTTGTCCTTGTTAATCTTCTGAAAGCGGATTTTTTATCCGGTAACATTTAATTTCGAGAGAATAATTTTCAAGATTTTGAAACTAAATAAACGCGCCGTAAATCCAATAACGGAAATCCAAATAATTTATTTGTGCGAAGTGCATCTACTACCACCATCATCACCAAGAGAACTGTGTTACAGAATTTAGCACATGAGCAATTTAAAATTATATTCTTTATAGGATAATAGAATAAGACAAAGAAAAAAAAACTGTGGTGTATCGTTTCAAAATTCCATGTAGATGGGTTTGGATTCGAGTTCTTTTTGTACGTACTTAAATTTTCCTAAACAGGATAATCTGTACGTTGCGATCTACGAGAGAGCTATCTTTTAATTTAAGCAATTCGTATATTGCTAACTACTGGTTGAAACCTGCATAACGTTAACGTTAAATTTCGAGAAATCGATATATGGGTCATCTGCTAGGAAAATCACCATTTGAAAGCATCAAATGGCGATTTTTATAGCAGGTGGCCCATATGTGTATATTATATCTGTGTTTCAATTAAATTATTATCAATAGCATTCGTGCGTACACAAATACGTATTGTATACGTGGTCGATAATAAGGACTGATTAAGGTGATTGAAAATAAAAATTAATTGATCTAACCTACTATTGTTCGAGAGCTGAATCTTCATCTGGTGATTTTTAGGCCCAAAGATATTGAATGAGATCTTGTATGTTTAAAATGTGCAATGCAATGCGAGGTTAAAAAAAATCTTTAAACGCAATATCCAAAATGTTAAACTGTAGGCTTTCAAGCATTAAACATTGATATTATACAAAAGTAAATTCACTTATTAAAAGATCGTACAAAAGAATTTCCACATACGTCCAGATAAATTATTTTCATAATTTTCATTACAGAAATAATACAAGTTTTTATTAAAAAGAACTGTTGAAAATATGAACTATTTTTTTTTTTTTTATTTTCGTTTATTTTCATCATGATAATTCGTGAGAAATTAAATAATCCAAATTTACTATTTTTCACTTAAATTTCGTAAAGAAAAAAAAAAGTGATTAATATGTATAAATATTGACAAGGACCTTGATTTCTAAACATTTACTTTCTCGCATTTTGCTTTGCTGCTCGAAAAAATGTGTAGCTTTAAAGGTCGGATGTTTTTAAAATTTAACTAATCATTGATAAACCCAATTCCATATTATTTGTGTCAGGCCAATCCGTTAAAAAAACATCACCGTGTTTGAGTGGACTCTTTGGTGGTTCAACTTCATTAGATGAATTAAGTGTCGAAATCCTCTCTAAGTATTGAATTGGTTCGATGAACGAGGTTTGTATTGGTAATGGTAACTCCTGTTGGTACTAGTGGTTTGCCATAAAAGTTAGGATCAATCAATAAAATACACTGAATAGCAAATAAATAAATTACCTCGAAATTAAACGAAGAAGAAGGAAATGGAACCATATATTGAATATGTTGTTCAACAATCGGATCAACAAGTGGTTCCTCTATTCCTCCAAATTCTTCTATTCGCTGTGACTCATAGGCACCATCGAATGAGATTAATTGTTCATAAGGTAATGTTCCTGCTATTGATGTCCTTCTTCGCTTACGAGTTTCTTCTTTAGCTAGTTCGTTTAACGGTTGAGATACCATGCTCGGTAGTTCTCTTCGTTTATAAATTTTTTCTGTGCAAACTTCTTCCATAGACTCGCTTTGCGGTGTTAAAGGAAATTCTTCTATAGACTCGTCCGGAGACGATATGGGTGACTCTTCGTGAAAGTCTTTTATAATCTCGTTAGATGACGTTATAGGTTGTAAAATTACTTTCAATGAATTTGTATCTGCGTTATCTTTGGGTGAATCGTGTGTTGTTATTTCGTTTGATTCTAACTTCGGAATTTTTCTTTCGACGTTTACTATCGGATATAACGATCCTCTTTGATGCACACGCGGGACTCTTGCTCTAACCATTTTTTATTTAATATTTTTATGGGATGAAACTCGATAAATTAAAATATCTGAACGTTTATTATATATAAATTAGATTCGATTCACACAATTTTTTGTTTTTACTTGGGAATTCAAAATGAAAGAATTTTTTTTTTTTTTTAAAAAAAAAAAAAAAAGACGATGAACTAATTACTGTGCGCTAATTATTAGAACCATCCTTTTTTAAAACGGACTTTTAAAACCCGTTGGTCATCACAAATTATTTGTACCATTCGATTATGCAGATAACATCGGAGATTTTTCACCGCAACAATGAACAATGTGACAGTTTCAAGAGAGGCTTGCATCATATTATTTTAAAAGCATCTACGAGCCACAATACTAATTTTGGTTTTTACGTAAAACAATCCTTGTATTCAAATTTCCTTTTATGAATTAAATTAATTATAAAAATGATTTTTGTACCATCTTCTTAAATTGAATCATCTTTAAATTGGAAATATGAGCTATCTTGTAAAAAAATAGTATCATAAAAAAAATGGAATATCGGTACCTGGGGGATAGTGGGCTCAAAGTATCAGTTCTTTCTCTTGGTGGCTGGGTTAACTTTGGGGGTCGAATTTCTATAGGTGAAAAAAATATTTATATATATCAAATTACGTAATTGTATATCCTCATAAACTAATTAATATTTCTTGCTCGTTCGCCACACTATATACTTTTCAAAAACTCAAAGATGATACTCAAAAATGTATGCAAATAGCATTTGATAATGGTATTAATTATTTCGATACTGCTGAAGTTTATTCAGGTGGAAAATCCGAAATCGATATGGGATGCGCAATCAAAAATTTAGGTTGGAATAGATCTGGTTTCGTAATATCTACAAAAATATTTTGGGGTGGTAAAGGTCCAAATGATCGTGGATTATCCAGAAAACATATTGTAGAAGGGTTAGATTCTTCTTTAAAAAGATTGGGATTAAAATATGTTGACATTGTATACGCTCATAGACCAGATCCTGATACTGTACGTTTTATTTTATTTATTTTTCATGAAATTGCCCTTCGAGCCCTTCGATTTAAAATAATTGTTTTTCAATTATTAAAGCCAATGGCAGAAATAGTTCGCGCATTTAATTTTGTAATTGAACAAGGAAAAGCATTCTATTGGGGAACTTCTGAATGGCCCGTTCATCTTATTGTAGAGGCTCATTGTGTAGCTAACAAACTCGGACTTATTCCTCCACTGGTAATGTTTTTCAATAACTCTCTTTTCAGTTAGTACTGTATTTGTACCGCAGAATAGAGTAACCGTTTAAATTTTTGTCATTTAATAAAATTCTATAAATATTCTTACAAAGGCTGAACAAGTAAGTAATCACCCTTTTTTACTTCAAAGATGATATGCTTCTATTTATTTATTTTTTTTAGGTACAATATAATTTGTTTCATAGAGAACGCGTAGAAAAAGAGTATGTTCCTTTATTTAATAATTATAAAATGGGTGCTGCAATCTGGTCACCTCTTGCTGGTGGTATCCTTACCGGAAAACATAATAACCATATAGATAAAGATTCTCGTTTGGCATTGGAAGATAATATACAAATGCAAATGTTAAGAGATGGATTGTTAAGTCCAGAAGGTCAACGTAAAATTGAAAAAGTTAAAAGGCTAATGGTAAGTTTCAAATTTATATTCTTTTTCTTCCATTTAATAATAATTTGATTATTTTTCTAAAATTTTTATATGCTCTTTTGATATGTAAGCCCATCGCAAAAGGAATTCATGCTACCCCTGCTCAACTTGCGCTTGCATGGTAAAAACTTTTTATTAAAAATTTTTTCCATTTATATATTATTAATTTTTTTGATTTCTATTACACGTATTTGATTTGATATTAGGTGTATAAAACAACCTAATGTTGATACCGTAATTACTGGTGTATCTAAACCTGAACAAATGATAGAAAATCTTGAAGCCGTAAAATTGGTTTCAAAATTAACACCCGAAATCTTAAAAGAAATTGATGATATAATGGATAATCGACCACAACTTCAATTTAGTTTCAGGGATTGTTGAAAAAAAAAACTATTCTTTTTTGCCTGCATATTATTTACGTTTTTTCAAGAGAATTTACTTTATTATAGACGAAGGGATATTATAGTCTGAAATTTTTTTGAGCAGTTATATACTTTTTTTTTTTACATCCAGAATTTGCATGATAAACATTGTAGCATAGCCTTATCTTTTACGCATTATAACAATATTGATAAATTACGTACTAATTAATTTTTTTTCTAATAATGTAAATGGATTCTGTTAGTATAAAGAGAATAAATAATTTTATCAAATCATTGTCTTTCATAATAATACGGACGACTTTATAAGAAAAACGCCTTTGTACCTTTGACCGTATTTTTACAGTATGATGTGCAAGTGATTAGAGAGCTTATACTGCATCACAAAAAATCACAACTACAATAGCAAGTATTATTGAACTTTGACAATATAGATAATTATTTCTGAAATATAGTAACTGTTGAAATTTAATTACTTTTTAATCTGTAAGGTTAGCAGACAAATTTGTTTGCTTAGATACTATAAATTAGTTTTATTATATTAATTATTTAAAATAATTAATTAAAATACATATATTAAAAAAAAAAAAAAAAACTCTTTCCCGTAAATCTGTAAATCATAGTAATTGTAAACAAACAAATACCCAAGTAGAAATTATACCCTAACTATAAGAAAGAATTGTTCGAACTTGAAGGTCTCTACACTTCTGCACCTTGAGTTAGTTTCTAACCTAACAGAATAGATGAGCAAGACAGTAATCGTATCACCTACAAGTCCCCAGTCAGCTTCAAACCACTCCTATGGGAGTCAGTTACCACTATGGCCCAATGCAAATCCATTTTTCAATCTGTATCTGAATCAATCTTTGGCTCTACTTCAACTAACGAACTATTGGTAGACCCTGAAAACCCTCCCTTAACTACACCTGCAACCAATTACTCAACACCTGTCACCGCTAAAAAAAACAACAATAGCTCCGAGTTCCACCATGCTACCACTTGCCACAACCCCTACCTTAGGGAAAAAAGTGAGCAAACTAGCTTACCCCCACCTGCAGATCGGCTAGAACCAGCCCAAGGTCACATGACATCACACATCCAAAACAACACAACAACAAACCCAAATTCAATGGGGACCGATCTGAGACCTGTAACCTCTATGAAAATATTCCCACACTCAATTCAAAACACATCCTTAATTGGAAACAGCAATACAAATCAAGCCACCTCAGCTGAATATATCAATTCAGTTCCCATGGATTATGAAAACAACAAAGGTCCTGACTCACAGAACCCCAAAAAGCGGATTACCCTAAACCTGGACCCCAATAACTCTAGCAGCCCTACTACCAAATCCAACCCCAGTATCCGAACCTATAGTCAAGCACTCTGACTCACTCCGACCACCCACCGATCTAGTTCGGTAAACGATCCATCTTTACTCTGGTCTCACTCTGTAATGCACGCCTTGGCCCAAAGATAGCAAGCATTTGATTCCCAAGCATGGGACATAGATACAATAGCACAAGCACTACAAGATAAATCAAAAATGATCCAATTTCTCATACACAAATTTAAAATGCAACCAACTCATCACAATTTACCGACCGCTATTAACACAAAATTTAACTATTTTGATAATGCATTTTTTAAATCCTTTACCCGTGATAAAGCAGCCATACCAGCACACCAAAATAAATATGGATCACTGTTTAATATAGCTCTTGAGAGATACAAATACCAACATAATACCCGTTTTATCAACAAACATAACCGCAACCAAATTCAAGACAAATTACAAACAAAGCTAGCAATTGACTACCTCACTAATACAGATTTTATCAAAACTAATCCTCATGTTATAACTCGCAAAATTCATTACTGTGCCAATTTCGCCCAAATCACATTACCTACTGCATTCGAAGTTACTCGACGAATAGTTCGCTTAGCACTATCAGAAACACTCACCCCTCTCCCTGACCTTCCCTCCAAAATCTCCTCAGAGAACCTATCAATTTTACCTTTCCCCTTACCTATCAAAGACCAGAAGCAAACACGTGGTGTAGTAGCCGCACTTCGAAAGCTATTTAACTTTTCCGAGCTACCTGAGAGCTATTTTGAGGAACAATTAATCGAACTACCAGAGAATCCATCTGAACTACACCCTGCAGTCAGAGATCTTTTT